TTATTGCCCTCAGAAATCAAATCACCGACTGTTACAAAATGAACAAAACATATACACACAAAGCTCCTAGGTTCTCTATGATAAATAACTATAGATTGCAAAAATGGCAGCATTTCTTCTCTTTGTTTTTTACCCAAGCTCTTTGCAGGATACTTTGTCACTTCTTCTGCACCCTGTAGAATGTGGGTTAGTCTGTGATCTGTTTTGGCCAATAGCATGTGGAAAGGAAAAGCATGCTCATATTAAGCCTCAGCCTCCAACTGGAAAGACATAGAACTACATTAATAAAATGGAGATGTGTCTAATTGCAATTGGGTGAAAATGTGTTGAATTTTAAATAATTACCATAAAACATTTCAGAAAATAATTTGAGAGAAATTTGTAACAGGTCTTCCAAAATGTTAGAAAATGATTATCTCTTAGAACTTTGACTCCATTTGCAAAATCATTTCTCTTCTGAAACTCAAAGAAAATTCCATAAAACTAATGATTCATGAAAGCCTTCCAGAATGTTTAAACTCTAGGAGATAAAATGTCCTTCTCCATCTCCATCAGGGGGCATGCTGACAGTCTCAGAGGGGTGAGAACACAACTTCGCTTGGTTGACAGCTCTCATACCCTGAAATGATTGGCCCGGTATTAATTCAGTGATATACTGCTTAGTGTGCTTTTTTTAAATAGTGATTTTGGCTTCACTGTTGAAAAAGTTCCATTTCACTGTATCAGGTTTGTCTCCTCATTAGCGTTTGGCAAGAAAAATCAGACAACACATGTACTCAACTCATAACAAGTTTATGAATTTGTATTTTAATCCACTTCTGGGAAAAGACAAGCAGCCAAAGATCTAAATGATATATTAATGGTCTAAATTGTACTTTAATTCATCTTTTCCCAATACATGAGAAGTAATGAGGACCTAACTAAGCATTCTGTAGTGTGTAACAATAGCTCATACTTAAAGTCACAGACCATCTCAATAAAATCTCAAATGCAGCATGCACATTGGTATTCAGTCCTGTTAAAAAGCAGGAATGGCCATATTTCTGTATTTATCAATAGTTTATTCTTGGGTTGTTTTTATTTATTAATTAAGCAAAAACTAACATTGTCTGTTAGGTTGCAAGTAAATGTAGACCAATATTCATGCTTTCAAATGAATATCATTTAGTTTACTGAATTACTTGTGTTGATTATACCTTGACTTTTCTAGAGAGGATGATGAAAGGGTCTTATCTAAGGGCAATGAACGTTTTGGAAGTTTTCCTCTTATAAACATAACATCATCATAAAGCGTAGTTTTCATGTGCCTTTTGGGAAATTAACTGTGATAAAAATGTTATTAAAATAAAATAGAACATATATTGTAATAATCTATTTATATGAAAAATCCAGAAAGGGCAACTCTGTAGAGACAGAAAATAGATTTGTGGTTGCCTTGGGTTGGGGGTAGGAAAAGAAATGACCACAAATGGGCACTAGGGATCTTTTGAGGTGATGAAATTATTCTAAAACTGGACTGTGTTGCACAGCTCTGGAAGTTTACAAAATCATTGAATTGTACACTGCAAACCTTAGAGTAGATTTTATGTTATATAAACTATGCCTCAATAAAGCAGTTATATTTTTTAAAGAACAATAAATGTTATTAAAGAAATTTAAAATAATAATTCATAACATTTCCCAATATTATTGAAACAATCTAAATTAGATTTGAATTACTACAATATGCCAAACACAGGCTGAAAGAAACCTAATTCTTCAAAGGGCTTTCTTAAGCTATTCTGCCCATTCTGGATGTCAGAATTATAACAGTTTGTCCACTACGTCCATACTATATGCATGTATAATATGTGGAAACATTATTTAAATTTTAACCTGAAAATACATCTAAAGTTTTACCTGAGACCACGTAAACTTAATAAGGGAGTTAACCATATACTGAAACCTAAACATAATTATACTCAGCTAGGCAATGGAATTCTGTTATTATATTCCATTTTCTTATCGCTAACCAACTTATAAAACTCTTTAAAAAGTTTAAATATAATAACAACAATAATAGTAAAAATATTTGAAGTAATAGATACCGTTTACTGACTGAGTGTTTACCATGCACCAGACTTCGTTAAGTGTTTAACAAAAATAGTCTTTTAATTTGTACAGTAACACTGAGAAGTAGGAATTATGCCCATGTTAAAATAAAATAAATTGAGTTTTAACAAGGATAACTAACTTACAGTATCACAAATTAAGTAGGTGGTAGGGCCAGCATTTAGCTTTAGCTCTGTCTATCCACTGTGGAGTGGCTAGGAGCGCAGGTTTTATTGGGTACCCTCCCTCTATATGAGTGTGTGTGCCACACTCTCTAGCTGCATGACCGTGGGTAGGTTACTCAAACTCTCAAAGCCTTCATCTCTTTATAAAACAAAGATAAAAATGTTATGTAGCCTTTATATATATTTTTGAAGAAGATAATCTAAGGCTCCTACTGTCTTTCTCAGAACATAGTAACTTCTTAAAAACTTATTACTAAAAGTACTAACAGTAGGATTAACTGATATTCACTTTGCAGGGAAATATACATTTTATAAATGAATATATCAAATTAATCACAAGTGTTTGCTTAAATCTAATTCTCAAATAATTCTTGGGTATTTTGTACACTTGGGTTTGGTAGAAAATTGCTGGATTTTGTAAGTACCCACATGAGGGTGTAGGACTTATGGCTCTAGAGGCATCAGACTGAACAGTCTTCCCAGTGGCACACATTGAAGCTGAAGGGACCTACCCATGTAGAGTCTGGCCTCACTGCAAGTTCTCTAACATCAGAAGCTCCCAGGATTCACAAAAATCTCAGAGCACACAATGAATTCTCACAAGACTGAGACTTGAAATAAATTTACTTAGATTTCCACAAACAGAGGACATTAAGTCACATGGGGACATACATATAATAATGTAAAATTATGGACAAATACATACAATTTTATAACACCAGTCATTTTTTTAGAATAAAAAATTTATTTATTTTTTATTTAAATTTTATTTTTTATATTCCCCATACAATTACAACCCCCTTATTTTGACCCCAAGCCCTCCTTTCCCCGCCCCCACCCCCCATAGAGTGTCTCTGGTTCATAGTTGTTTGTCGATTTTGATATTTTCTTTCTTATAGTTATTCTTTTTCCTGGTCCCTTATTTAAGTTTTCTAGATTCCTGCTATGAGTGAGACCATCCAGTATTTTTCTTTTTCTTTCTGGCTTTTTTCGCTGAACATGATCCCTTCCAGCTCCATCCATATTGCTGCAAATGGCATGTGTTTATCTTTTTTGATTGCTGAGTAATATTCCATACCACCAGTCATTTCTTGCATAAGAAAATTGAAGAGTAAAGGTGTTTAGGTACTTGCCTAAGGTAAAGAACTAGCATTCAAGCTTGTATTTTCAGTTCCTTATCTATATTGTAAAATTTTTAAGAGTTTATTTTCTGTTTTACCTACAATTTAATGACAGAAATTTACCACAATGATGACCACTTGTCTATTTATCTTTGCATATCTATCAATTTTTGCTTTAAATATTTTGAGGCTATGTACTCAAATGTTCATTCAAGTTAGAATTGTTATATCTTTTGTAAAGCAACTTATTACTGAGGATGTTTAAGATACAATAACCTAAGTTAAGCTATGATGTTTGGTAGATTAGTTGTATTACAAGCATTTTCTACTTACGTTATTTCCAACTTACTTTGGGTTTATTGGACCATAACGCAAAGAGAAAGACTTGAAATATATAATTTTGAGCAATGGGGAATTAATTTTGTAAGGAGTGTTTTTGAATCTTTTGATAATGAGAAGGCACACAATTTATATCTCTACAAGAAAATACATGAGGGTCTCCCCTGGTGGCGCAGCAGTTGAGCGCTGGGCTGGTAGGCTCTGCGGCACCGATTGGATCCCCGGCCTCCAGCAAGGGTCCCACATAGCACGCAGACCTCTCCTGCCACGCCCGCTGCTCCCCTCAGCAGTGTGCTTCATTAGTCTGCCTGATCTGTTTCCCACTCTATCTCTGGTGACTTCTCTCACCCTCCCACGCTTCTGACTGTGCCCAGTGCTTGTATAAATAAATAAATCTAAAAAAAAAAAAAAGAAAATACATGGAAGTTCAAATAGAAAAAGAATGTACAGAAACACCTCAGAGTTACTTTAGGTTCAGTTCAATACCACTACAATAAAGAAAATACGACTATAAAATAGATCATACAAATATGTTTGGTTTCCCAGTGCATGTCAATGTGCAACAATGATATGTTTGCATTACAATGTATTCTATTAAGCCTATTAACATTTATCTGAAAAGTTTATAACTTTAATTAAATATGACACACACATTGAATACGGTGCTGTTGGGAAATGGTACCCATAGACATATTTGGCTCACAGGTGACACAAACCTTCAATTTGTAAAAAAAAAAAAAAAAAAAAATCTATATCTATGAAGTGCAATAAAGTGCAGTGAGGTAAAATGGCATGTGCCTGTAATGGTTAGAAGAAGAAACACGTGACCCTAGATTATAATCTCAGTTTTTCCATTTACTAGCTAAAAGAATTTGTGTATGATCCTCAATCTCTCCCTTCCTCAGTTTTCTTATTCAAAAGAGTATGACAAAAATTAGACAATGGGATTGGGTGCATGTAAATTAATATATTACAAACACTTAAAATCATGTCTTCCCTTAGGAAGACTTCTGTAGTTACTTATTGATATTGTTATATAATGTTAGTGTAAATTCACGTTACTTACAGTTAAATTTTTATAAACTTATGAGGAGAAAAAAAATAGTACCTACCTCATAGGATCATTGTGAAGATGGGAATGTAAAACACTAGGATAGAATATGGTCTAACACATAGTAATTATGACTTTTGTTATCAGATACAATTTACTCAAATGACATTTACTCATTTACTGACTCCATCCTTTATTTTTTTATGCTACTAGTCTGTGATCTTTATTCGTGACAGAAATTCTCATGGACAAGAGATATCAGGATATATTGACTACTCCCACAGACTAAAGACAGAAGATTTTGAAGTTTACTTTAGTAGTAAAAAAAGACTTCTTCCAAAAGCCACAGATCTGAGGTAAATCAACACATTTCTCACACCGTCAGTAAGAAAGCAAGCCCCTCAGGGGCAAGGGTTAAAATGGAAATGTTATGTTCTATTGTGTGCTTAGAATGCTAATGAATATGTAGTTAGAATGTGGTAAGAATGGTTTGAATAATAAATATATAAAATTTTAATTAAGGAATTTACATTGATGATTTTCTTAACAGCCTGAGAAAGAGAACTTTTTGGAGATAAGAAAAGTAAATTCGCAGTGACATTCTTTTAAAATGATAAGTAGAGCCTAAAAATTTCATAAGGTTCTTATAATATTTGGGATACAATCTGCAGGAAACCTCAAGAGCATTACATCTGACAAATTCTCCTCTTACTTTTCATTCATGACTGGCTCAGTCTCATCGACTCTCAGGAGTAGCCTATTCTGGGATTCCTTCCTACCCATCATTCTTTTTAATGGTCACCCCTATCCTTCTCTATGGTGCCCTTATCCTCTTCCTGAGGAGCTACTCTAAACTGTCAGTCTTTCATAGATAAACCCTTCTACCCTATTTTGAATAGCTTTCGAGCTAATTTCTTTTCTTCTAATATCTCTCACTTTCCATAGAACACAAAAGCAGCAGCAGCATTTTGCTTTAACTCTCCCCTGCTCTTTCCAGTTAATTCTTTGACTGTACTTTGTAATAGTACTCCCCTCTTCTGACATCCTTGCCATCATCCGTTCATCTATATTCCTATTATCTAAAGACTTCCTAACCCATCACAACTTTCATGGACTTACCGCTTTTCTATTCATCCTAAATGTATGACATATCATTTAACTTCCCTTTATAATAATCCCCATTGTCTATCTTTCAGTGCTTTGACTGTTTCTGCCTTGCAAACCTCAAAAAAGTAGATTGAGCTGGACATCTTGACTGTACCTTTCACCGGATCCCTAAATAATGCTGAATGAATTACAGATGACTGTCATTAATAACCCATTTTGTATACCTTGAACACCCATTTTTGTGCTTTTTCTCAACTCTTAACTTCACCTGCCTCTCCCTAACTATTCTAAAGCTTCACCACTCATTATTCTCAACTGACACCTTGCAGTATTTATATTTCACAGAGAATGTTGTGTCTGAACATGAAAACTACCAACTGATGTCTATATCTCTGTTAACCAAAATTGCCATCTCTTTTAGGCAGTGCCTCCTCAGAGTGCCCTTTTGAGTATTTCCAGTCACAGTTCCATCTGGCAGGCATTGGCCTGTGAGCTGCCACGTGCATTCAGAGCATGTCTGCTCCTGACTCTTGGAACACCACCAGGACATCTTGACCCCCAGTCCACCTCAAAGAGCCAATCTGTTGCACACTTGTACACATTCCCCCAACTCAGCAAGGCCTAGGCCTCCTTAAAATTAGGCAGGAACAGATAGTGACTGAGACTTTTCTGGTGACATTTCTAATACAAAATACTTCATACCCCAGGTGGTTGCACTGTCTACCTCTAAAAACTATTTTTATTTTTTCTTGAAAAAGAAAGAATAGTTCATTCTTGCTAAGTGAACTATTCGTGAATATATGCATCTACTCTCAACACATTTTTCCAGATTCGAAGAAAAAAGAACTGCTTGTACTGTTTAGACCTAATTTATTCAACTTGTTTTTGATGCCTTCCACCCCTCTTTCCACTGGAGCTTTGCTTCATGTGTTGTTCCCTCTTTTTTTAATAGATTCCCAAGTTGACCCTTTGAAATGGCTCTTCATTTTGCCTCTAACCATCCTGAAGCCATTAGCATATTAAAGAAAGGAATTTTTTTTTTTTTTTTTTGTATTCCAACTATTACCCTATCTCCTTTTCAGTTTCCAGCTAAGCTCCTCAAATTAATGGGTCCCGAGGCCTCCCCGGTGGTGCAGCGGTTGAGCACTGGGCTGCGAAGCTCTGCAGCGCTGGTTCGATCCCTGGGGGAAGGTCCCACATGGCGCGCAGACCTCTCCTGTGGCGCCTGCTGCTCCCCTCAGCAGTGTATTTCATCAGTCTGCCTGTTCTGCTCTCCTCTCTGGCTCTGGTGAATTCTCTCACCCTCCCGTGCTTCTGACTGTACCCAGTGCTTGTATAAATAAATAAATAAATCTTTAAAAATAAATAAATAAATAAATAAATAATGGGTCCCTATTCTCACTTTTCATGTAGGCACTAACCCATTGCTGATAGTTCTCTGTCATCATTATTCAAATAAAACAACTCCTGCTAAAATCATGAGTGACTGCCAATTTCAAAACCCTATGGATTATTTTTCAGTTCTCATCTTAGTTAACTTCTCTGTATTATTTCATTAGAGATGATTAATCATGTCATTTATCCTTTCTTCTAAAACTAAATACCCTAACCTTTTATTATCAAAATCCCTTATTGAATTCCCCCTTTGTTTACTTCATACATATTGGTGTCACCAGGGTTCATTTGGGGAGTTTTTTTTTTTTTTAATTTTTTTTTTTAATAGAGGCATGTTTTATTTATTTATTTATTTATTCATTTGTTTGTTTTGTTTAAACATGCACTGGGTATGGTCAGAAGCGCGGGAGGGTGAGAGAATTCACCAGAGCCAGAGCAGGGGGCAGAGCAGGCAGACTGACGAAGTACACTGCTGAGGGGAGCAGTGGGCAGCAGGAGAGGTCTGCGCGCCATGTGGGACCCTCCTCCAGTGGCTGGGGAGCAGCCGGGGATCGAACCGGCGCCGCAGAGGCTGCTGGCAACTTCGCAACCCAGCGCTCAACCACTGTGCCACCGGGGAGGCCCTGGGGAGTTTTTTCTTACCCTACATATTATCCTATGTGATCTGATCACTTTTCTGTAGTAGAGTAGTTGTTTTTATAACTACTATCTGACACAGATTTCTCTTTCTTATTGCAGCTCAATTATCCCACTACTTACTACAGAAAAATGCTTAGGTGTCCCATTAACACTTAAAATTCATGCTTAAAATTAAACTTATTTTAATCCTTGAAGTGTCCTCTTGCTTCTATATTCCCTGTCTTGGCAAACGTCACTACCTTTGCAACCTAAGACAAACTCCGTACGTTGTCCTAAACCTCTTCTTCTTCATCACTACTCCATAATTAATAATTTACCAATAACACTAGATTCTATTACCTTAACAATGCTAATTACATTAAAGAAGATGTAAGATATGTGATTTCATCAATAAATACTTCAATATGGATCTTTGTTAATATTTTAAAGGAAAACATCCTGACATTATTGATCTAACAAATTAATTCCTAATATTATCTAATACCCACTTAGTTCTTATTCATATTTCCTTGTCTTAAAGTTACCTTTCACAGTTGGCTTGCCCAAACCAAAATCCAAACAATATAATATGTTTTGTTATTCTGTCTCTTGTGCTATTTCATTTTATAACAGTAACTCTGCTGCTTTTCATAGTTTTATGTTATTTGATGGGGAAACCAGGTCATTTGTCCTAAGAAATGTCTTAGATTCTAAATGTGACTAGGCATTATTCTATTGTTTCTCATCATACCCTATTTCTGTCCGCCTATCTCCTGTCAACTGAGTTGACGAAATTCAATTTCATTTTTTTTTCAGGTGAGAATTTGTAATATGTAAAGCCCTGTGGGTCAGGTGATGTGAGTCTGTAAGTTCCATTAAAAATTTCCCCATCAATATAACCAAGATGAAAATGTAATACATTGTACAAAAATGAAAAATTATGTGAAAAATATATAAAATAAAATAAAAAGGGTATTTGAAAAGCTCTTAAAAAAATTCCCCATCAGGCTTCATCCAGCAGTTTTAGTTTTAGCATACAATAAAGGTTCTCTGAATATTTTTACTGTGTTTATAATGGTGATTTTCTAATTCTCTCATTCATTCTGTATTTTTAAACTGAAGTTCTTACATGGAGAAAAACTTTACCTTGTCGCATATTTGGTTACCCTGAGATAGAATTTAATTCATGCGGAAAGACAAAATAAATATTTGAATATTTTCCTTAATTTAAGGAAATGAGTAAAGCCCAAAATACAAAAGAATACACTAACATAAGGCCAAAGTGTTTTAAAAGTGGTTATGCAATCTACTATCTAAGCACTCTGATTAACCTTATCCTTACTAACCACTGATATTAATTATCATATTTTTACTGTGATAAGTTACAAATGATCTCTCACTGTGGGTTTAATTTTTACTTCTATAATTAGTCATCAAGTTGGGCAACTTTTACTGGTTGTGTAGACTTCCTTTCTATGCAGTAAGACTTTTCCTCTTTTTTTTTATTGGTTATTCTTCCTTTTCTTATAAATTATAGGAGTTTCTTAGTGATTGCAAGAATTCATTTGCTTTTAATGTTTTGACTTAATTAATCCTTTATTTTTTATCTATATTGAAAAATGTCATATTCCAGGATGCAATTCATTCACTTCCTTAGTCATAATTGTCAGAAGTCAGAAATTTTGCATGTCAGATAAGGCATTTTACTCATTTTCTCCACAGTTTGTAATTTTCGTGTTTTGTTTACCAAACCCCTACATTTTGGGATGTTATAAAGATAATGTCTTATAAAATATTGAAGTTTTTATTTTTATTTTATATCTTTAACCTACCAAGATTTAATATTGTACAGGTTGCTTGGGTAAGGGTCCACATTTTGCTCTTAGTTTTTCATATAATTAATTACTAGTCCTAGTAACACTTCCTCCCTCCTTCTGCAACACCCCTTGTGTTGTAAGTTACTTATGTGATAGTTTTTTTCTGGACCCACTTTCCTGTTTTATTGGTCTCCCCTTAAAATAATAAAATCCTATTTATTATATTTTTATAATAATTATTGTATAAAGGATGGCAATTCCTTCACTTCCTTTTTCTTCTTCAGTAGTATCAAGGCCTTGATTGCCCTTTACTCTTCCATATGAATTTTAGAGTCAACTTGTGAAGTTCACAAAAGTTATAATTTTGATTGGAATTGCTTTTGAGTTATACCATTATGAAATTAATTGGCTTATTTATT